CTTTCCCTGTGACTGTCACCCGCGCCTGTTCCTCTCCTTTCCCTGTGGCTGTCACCAGACGCCTGCTCCTCTCCTTTCCCTGTAACTGTCACCTGCTGCCTGTTTGCTTTTCTCACTTTGTTGGGAAGAGAAGAAAAACATATTTTGAAGAGCTGAGTTAGACAGGACTAAGTCTTGGCCTCCCAAGGGTACAAGTGATTGTCCCCAGAGAGTGCCACAATGACCTGCTCTTGATGCTCAGAGCCTGAAGACTGCCAGGCCCACTCGAGCTCTCATCTTGCATATTTCACTGGGCATCGTCCCCTTCACACAAGGGCCGATTGGTGTATAACAGGTCTGTTATATATTTCTGTAGTTCTTTTGCTCGAAAGGTACCCCTTGCATGATAGTCTTGCCCATCACTCTTTTCCCCTTAAACTGTGCTTATCAGATCTCCCTCTTATAATTAAAAAAATATTTTAAAAAATCATTAATCCTCTCCCTTAATCATATGGTCTTATGTAGTCTAGGCTAGCTTCAAACCCGCTATGTAGTTGAGGATGTCTTGCGCTTCTGATCCTCCCTGCCCTCCTGGGATTACAGGCATATTTCACCACTTCTAGTTTATGTGGTGCTGGGTATTGAACCCAGGGCTCTGATTATAGTCAGAAAGCTCTCTACCAATTGAGCTACATTCTCAGCCCCTATCCTCAGGACTGGAAATAAGGGCCTGGAGTAGGTTATGTCTAAGAAGATGTGGATTGGGAAAATGGTTAAGCTCTTTCAGGAGCTTTGGTAAAAGATACTGTCAGGTCAACTGTGGACACACTGATACACTGAGAATAGCCTGGGCCAAATGCAGAAACATTGAGCAGGGCAGGGTTTTCATTTGTGAGGCTCTACAGCTCAGGTAACATTATAGAATCCAATTTATGACTTCCTCTGCAAGCATTAAGTACCTTTGTGGCCACCCCACCCATCTCTGCAATCCTGAATGAGGTAAAGGCCCAAAACTGGAAACTGCCACTGTGGCCACCATACAGAGGAGTCCCACTTGTCTATACTGAGAATATTAAGACCTGGAGGATATAAATGCCCCACTACTTACATGAAACTTATTATTTTAATGTGTGTACCATTTGTGGAACATTGACAACATGTAAGCATGTTGTCAGGCATCAGATGGCTGTTCCCACATCTGCCATAATAGCCCTAAGCACCTTCCTTGCAATTCTTTTTCAAAGTCATAAACTGAGGTTGGAGAGAGAAAATAATTTACCCAAGTTACTTTTCTTCCTTAACAGCCAGTTATTTCATTTCACTCAGAAGGCATCTTGCAATTTGCCATCTTTAGGAAATCTACGTTGTAAGGACTTTTTTGGTAGCATCTTTGAACAGTGTCTACCACCATTACCCTGCAACATACTAGGCTCTGTACCACACTGTCTCCCCACTTCACAGCAAAAGCACTCAGGAGACAGAATTCACACACGTTACCCACCACATCATTTGGGAGGCTCTGGAGGTCATCAAAAGGGGTTTCCAGGGTGTTAGTGTCCACGTTCAAGATCACAACATCTTCTAGGGCCATGTTTCTGACCTTCTGCAAGTAAAGAAAATCCAGAGTCACTGGAACTTTCATCAGTAGACAAATTACTTACCCTCGGCCTTCTTTAGGGAAAAATAGCATCCCTGGATAAAGGTTTACTCTGCTACAGTCCCAGAGATGCATGACTCACCTCTGCTGCTCATTTAACTGTCACAGAAATTATCCAACTCGCATGATCATTCTCCAAATCACACTGAGAGCATTTCACAGAGGCTATGCAACATACCAAAGAGCTAGGAAAATGAGACTTTATCATTTTGTTTATATCTATATATCTACATATATATGATGTTGAAGACATTGTTTGACATTCTCACCCTAGCTTCTAGGACAGATCATGATACCTATAAACATTTCAAGAATCTCTGTAGCAGGAGGATGGCCTATGCTGGTGAGAACCTCTTAACAGTTAATAAGAACATGCCAGGAAACAGATTCCTAGAATCTTCCATGTTAGAGTTTCTAACTTCAAATATTGACATTTCCAGGGGGCAGGGGACAATCCCCAAACTTATGAATCATCTTGTAAGATCTACTAAATGCTTTCAATTGGTGGAGTACTAGAGAGTTCCAACAAGACTCTTGACTAATGCATTTTCTTTCTCTTCTGAAACCCATCATTCCATTAACTACAGCTTTATTTGCAGGTGGGTGCAATTGAGAAGGTGTTGACACTAACATAGCTGCTGAGCACCAGGTAGAACTGTGTCTTAACAAGCACAAGCCCTATTTGCAGAGGAGCACACCGAGACTCAGAATGGCCTTCAGGATTCAGCAGCCTTGCTGCACCCTACAGTTTAAATACTTGGATGTACCACAAGGAACTTACATGAAGGTCAATCACAATCATCTCTTCCACCAAGGCCACATACATTTCAAAGCTCATAATAGTCTTCCCCACTGGTGTTTTCTTTTCCACCAGGAACTAGAAAGTGTGATGCTACCACCCATTTCAGAGATAAGAAATGGAGGCTCCATGAAGTGATGAAGCTTGTTCAAGGTGACATATGTAACTGAAGGGCTTCATCTGTGAATCCCAAATAGATGTGCTTCTCACTTCTTACCAGTTACTCTGGTCCAGTGGTTCTCAACCTTACTAACGCTTCAGCCCTTTAAGATAGTTCCTCATGTTGTGATGACCCCAACCATAAAATTATTTTCATTCCTACTTCACAACTATAATTTTGCTACTGTTATGAAACATAATGTAAACATTTTTTGGAGATAGAAATTTGTCAAAGGGGTCATGGCCCACAGGTTGAGAACCACTACTCTAGGCTATTATGAAGTTCAGAGTCATATATGCCCAGGGCTAGGCATTCAGGACTTAATACATGGTGGTTATTACTATTACTTTTTAAATTTTCTGATTTTTTTTTTGAGGCAAAATTTCTCTGTGTAGTTCTGGCTGTCCTGGAACTAACTCTGTAGATGAGGATGGTCTCAAATTATGACTTTTTAATATGTGCTGGCAAAAAAAGTTGCAGTGGCAGTGGCCTCTTGGTGGCACCAGCTTGGCTCTCATTTCAAAGGCTGATGATTGTTATCGGACGCAGAATTAGGATGGTGATGAGAAATGCCAGGATACTGGTACTGAACCGAGGACCACTGCACCCCAGCCTCTTTTGCCTTGCCTCATCTGACCCTCCCAATAGCTCCAAACAGAAGGAGCAGGAGGCAACAGCCACTGGAGAGCAGTCCTGGGGCTGACATGTCCTGTAAGTGGGTGTTGAGTGTGGATCAGAATTGGGGCTTGTTTCTGTGTTCCCAGAGCTGCCCCAGCAGCACACACAGCCCTTGGGGGCTCTCTGAGGCTGGCTGATATAAGCTTTTGATTTCCTTCCACTCCTGGCTGGAGGACTTGCCAGTTAAGCTGTGTGGAGTGTTTACTTTTTCAACAATGGCAGCAGGCTGAAGAAGAGGAAAAACCCTGGCCTTCTTTCCTGACTTAGCAGGCCAGGGTCCCCTTAGTAACTGAATTGTCCCCAGTACTGGGCTCCAGGCAGGAGCTGGTTCGGCAGTTTCCTCTCATGGACAATGCCGCCCTGCCGGTGGCAAGGCCTCTTCTAAAGGGGCTGGCATGGGCTCAAGGGGCTTCTTAAAGCTCAGAGTTCCCAAGGAAAGAACCATAGGCGGCTTGGTTGGAGGGTACTCTCTCCCCAAAGACTTGGGGCTGTGGGGTGGGAATGTTGGAGAAGGATGGCTCCTGAGTGCTAGCTTGTTTCTCTTCAGCATCATGGTGGGGAAAGCCTACTATCTTCAAGGCAAAGAGAGAGGCTCAGAGACTAAGTAAATTTCTCAGAGCCACACAGCTACGGAGTCAGCAAACCTAGCTGTGGAAAACAGTCCGACTCTAACACTCATGTGAGGAGACTCCCAGACCCATGTACTCAGGATTCACACTGAGTCACCAAGTAGGTAGGCAAAACGGAAAGCCCCAAAGCTCAAAGAAGCTTACTGTTTGGGGGACCATTCTAAATTATTTCCTCCTTGCTCCCTCCTACCTACCATGGCTCTAAATCCTTTACAGTACTCCAGCCTCCCTCGATTTTTCTCATTGATTACAGCATAAGCAACGTTGCACTTCATTACAAGCTAAGTAACAGTTACTAATTGTTCCAGAGTGTTCTCCTACATGGAGGCAAACTCAATCAAGGCCAGTTCACTGAAAGTTGCTTCAAGCACCAAAGACATTAATATATATGACATGGCCATGAAGTCTGAAGGCTGGAAGTTCTGTGTTTCAGGACAGATTCCCAGAAGTGGATTTTAGTTTCCACTCCTTAAGAAGTATCTCTGGTGAATTCATCTTAGAGATATATCTTTTCTTCCAATTATTTTACAGCCATTTTATCCACAGCTTGTGTTTCCTACTCTAAGTGAAGAAAAATCAGCAAAGACACGAGCAGATGTCAAAATAGTCCTCCAAAAATCCTACCCAATTAGAACATTTACAAGTACCGCAGCACACCGAGACAGCTCTCCGGTAGCTTGTCCCACCAACACATTCCCTCTCTTTTTAGTTACAGCATATGCCAAGGCTCCTGCCAGCTGCAAACCCCTCCCCCACCAGACTCCATAGGCTTCTCAGAACGGGAAGGGGGGAAAAAAAAGCACAAAACAGCACTGACATATACACCAGCTTTCCAAATGGCATTTCTTACACAGAAACACAAAAACGGCAGCACCCCATCAATAGTGCTCATTAAAATATTAAAATGTTTTTCCTGTGTGCTTTATTAGTCTTAGTTTGACTTGTCTTTGGACCAGGAAAGGGACAAAAAGCACATGAGAAGCTCAGAAGCAACTGAGAGGACACTACTTTCCTGAAACTCACCTCTAGCTCATCCATACCATGTGGGTAGCCTTAAGGACTGCACTGGACATCACAATTCCTCCAGGTTCCCAGTTGAGAAAAAAGAAGTGGGCAACACCAGCCCTATCTTCACTGTGCTGGCTAGTTTTATGTCAAATAGACATAGCTAGAGCCACTGGAAAGGAGTGACTTTCAATATAGAAAATGCCTCCATAGGATCAGGTTGTTTGCAAGCCTGTAGTGCATTTTCTTATTTAGTGATTGGTGTGGGTGGGCCCAGTCTACTATGGTGGAGACACCTCTGGACAGGTAGTCCTGGGTTCTGTAAGAAAGCAGACTGAGAAAGCCTTGGGGAACAGTAAACAACACGCCTTAGTGGCCTCTACCAGCTGCTACCTCCAGGCTCCTGCCCAGTTTGTGTCCTGTCCTGAATCCTTTGATGGTGAACTGTGATGTGCAAATGTGAGTCAAATAAACCCTTCCTTCCCCAACTTTGCTTTTTGGTCATGGTGTTTAACTGCAGCAATAAAAACCCTAACTGACATTCACTGTGGTATTTAGAGATGCTATTATGTGGTAAAGAGTTTCTGCATGATTTCCAGGACTTGGTAGCTCTGAGAGCCTGCTGCATAATATGGTTTCTAGGATCTGGGCTTCCCACAATCAGAACAACAAATTGATCTAGGTTTACTTACGCTGTAGTATCTTACTTACTGATCCTTTGCCCTGTCTCTGGGTTTCCTAATTCAGTTCCTACCCTAATATTTGGCCCACAGCTGACAATTCTTAAATGAGTGAATGAATAAATGAATGAAGGTATGGGATGGAGAGAGAGAGAATGACGAGAACCCAGAGGGGAGGAGCAGAGATCTGACATCTAGTCTGAATTCTACCTAATCACACTGGCCATACCAACACGGGCAAGTCAATCTTCCTGTGTCTGTTTCCTTTCTTCTGGGTTCAGATAACAGACACTATACTAAGCCTGCTATGAGTATTAAATGGACTAACATTTTAAAAGTATTTAAGTAGTGTCTGGCTCACAGGAAGTACAAGGTATTTGTTTAGTAAAAACTGAAGCTCTTTTGAGATGATAAAAATGTGCCAAATCATTATGGTAGTGGCTTCAAAACTTGAAATTCAAACCATACACCTTAAGTGGATGGTTTGTTGTACAGTTAAGAAGTCCATCAGAATGTTACCCAGAACATAGAATAAACTCACAGTAGACCTGGAAAGGCAGGGGTGAATGCATGACTGTGAATGAGTGTTCAGGATGAAGGGGCTCTTCCCAGGGCCACCTTGAAGGCCTTTGATACCTAGTGCCCTTCATGCCAACAGGAGAGCTTTTAAAAATGTTTGCATCTCGTGTCCTCTTAGGGTATACCTAAATACCTAATATCCTGGAAGGGAACTGGACAGTTATTGAAGAGGCAGGGCTCACAAGTAAGTCCATAAAAGGAAGATGAAATGATGGCTCTATACAGAATGGGAAGATGTAAATGCCAGGAACTAGCAGTGCTGGCCAAGAGGAAAGACAACTGACTGCAAGTTGAGGTGCAGGGCCCAGCTCCATTCACCTCAGTCTCCTCTGACAGACTGCAGGGAAGAGCAGCATTCCTACATCAGGATGGAGGCATTGGGGGTCACTGTGGTAAATCTTTTGTTATCCTTATAC